CCCACACCCACACCCACACCCACACCCACACCCACACCCATCACAGACCGTGACAGAGAAACTGTACTTCTAAAGCATCAGATAAACGGTTAGCTACAAATGTATTGCAAAGAAATAGAACAAAACGATTTCCATTTAATTAGTAACAACAGATTCATCGTGTTTCACATTTTTAATCCCGCAAGGGATTGCGCTAACAGCTTTTTTGAATAAATGAGACTGATTAGTATTCATCGTTATGAAAAAGTGACTGCTGATAGTCAGTTTACGATTCATAATAGAACAACAGTAATATCTTGCGAAGTTAAATTCAAATGACTACATTTTTGTTCTTTCTTTTTAAAGATCAAATATAGTTAAGTTGAACAAAGAAACTGGTAGTTTTGACGGAAGTTTACGTTGTAATGTGTTACGATGAAATAATTCCGTGTCTTCTCATTTGCGAACATAAAACTGAAATTCAAAAAAACTATTAAAATTAATTTTTTCAAATTTAATTTATTTGAGAAAAAAAACATAAAAATTTTCGTGTTTTAAGTTATTTAAATTTAATTTAAGAAATTTATTTAATTTTTTAATGCGAATAACTTTCAAATAACTATCAAAACTTTCAAATTTTCGTTTATCAAATTTCACAAAATTTGTTCATTCAATTTTACTGTTAAATGAACTACAATCTTTAAAAAGGTCGCCAAATATGGTGCTTGATTGTTTCTTTTAAATGAATTGCAATTTGTAGAGTTCGCTAGATATAGTTTTTCATTATTTTTTTTCTTAATTAACTGTAATTTGTAGAGATCACTGGACACCATTGTTATTATATATGCCACAAGGTTTTTGTTTCCTGCAACTTATACACGCCATCTAATTGTCATTCTAAGATGACATTAAATATCGAATGGACACAAACTAATCGAGGAGCACAAGCATCCGTATGTGTGTGTTTTATCCATTCAGTCGGGTCCGACTCTTAGTGATCCAATGAACTAGACTTCTCCACTTGTTTCTGTTGTATGCCTTATTGTTTAGTTGTCTTAATGTTAGGTTTGTATCTTCTTTTATTGTATCGATCCATCTTTTCTTTTGTCTTCCTCTGCGACGCTTACCTCCGATTATCCCAAGCATTATTTCTTTTTCCAATGATTCGTGCCGTCGCATTATGTGTCCGAAGTATGATAACTTTAATTTGACCAGTGAAGCATCCAGTGAGCAATCTGGTTTTATTTCTTGTAAGACAGATTTGTTCGTTCTTTTGTCAGTCCATGGAACTCGTAGTAATCTTCTCCAGCACCATAGTTCGAAGGCATCGACTTTCCTCCGATCTGCTTGTTTCATTGTCTAGCTTTCACATCCATATGTTGTTATTGGAAAAACCATCGTTTTGATTATTCTAATTTTTGTGGCCAAGTTTATGTCTTTGCTTTTGATGAGCTTGTCCAGGCTGACCATTGCCTTTCTGCCCATAAGAAGCCTTCTTTTTATTTCATTGCTGCAATTGCCATCGGAATTTACATTAGAGCCCAGGAAAATGAGCTCTTTGACTATCTTCACTTGATTGTTGTCGATGTAGAATTCTTGAATAAGGCCATTTGTCATCACGAACGTCTTTTTCGTGTTTAGTTTTAGCTCTGCTGCTGCACTTTCCTCTTTTTCCCTTCTGTAGAAGGCATTTCAGATCGTCAGCAGTTTCAGCCAGTAGTGTGGTGTCATCCGCATATCGTAGATTGTTGATGTTCCGTCCGCCCACCCTTTATTCCACCTGCTGCTTCATCTATGCCCGCCTTTCTCATTATATACTCTGCGTATAACTTGAATAAGTATGGCGATAGGATGCAGCCTTGTCATACACCTTTACCAATGTTGAACCAGTTGGTTTTTTCATATTCCGTTTTCACCGATGCTTGTTGATCAGTATACAGGTTCTTCATAAGGACAATTAAATGTGTTGGCACCCCCATTTCGTTAAGTACAAACCAGAGTTTCTCGTGATCCACACAGTCGAAAGCTTTACTATAGTCGATGAAACATAAGTAAAACTCTTTTTGATATTCACGAGCTTTTTCAATTATCCATCGTAGATTGGCGATTTGGTCACGTGTTCCTCTTCCTTTTCGGAAACCTGCTTGTGTATCTGGCATTTCTCGTCCGAGAAAAGGTTGCAGTCGTCGTCGTATAATCTTCAACATAATTTTGCTGGCATGTGAAATGAGAGCGATCCTTCGGTAGTTAGAGCAGTCCTTGGCATTCCCATTCTTCGGTATGGGAATGAATATTGATGTTTTCCAGTCTAGAGGCCGTTGTTGTGTTTTCCATATCTGTCGACATAATGTTGTTAATACTTTGATTCCATCTTCTTTGATTATCTTGAAACATTCTATTGGAATATCATCATGTCCTGGTGCTTTGCCATTTGCCAATGTTTCCATAGCCAATTTAACTTCGCTTTCTAAAATATCTGGTTCAAGTTCATATTCGGCGAGTTCCATATTTTCTGTCCCATTGATCTCCTTTTTGTATAATTCTTCGGTGTATTCCTTCCATTTGTTTTTGATTTCTTGACCATTTGATAGTTGTTTACCTTTTTGATCTATTAGAGTACCATTCCTGGGTACGAATTACCCTTGAAGGTCTCTTATCTTCTTGAATAAATCTCTTGTCATACCTTTTTTGTTATATTCTTCGACTTTTTCGCATTCTTGTATAATTTGTCTTGCTTTATCTTTTCTTGCTTCACGTTGAAAATCAGCATTGAGTTTTGCGAAGGCTTGCCTATTTCCATTTGCTTTTGCTTCACGCCTTTCATTTGCGATTTTCAATGTATTCGTCGAGATCTAGTTGTTTTTCTTCTTTTTTGCGATTGTGGTTATATTTCTTTTCATTTCGTCGTTGATTATATTGCGTATTTCTTCCCATAGTTCTCCAGGTTCTCTGTCCATCAGATTGAGCGCCTCGAATCTGTTTTTCACTTCCACCATGTATATGTTCGGAATGGTTTGTAAATTGGGTTTCGCTGTTTGTGTTGACTTGCGAATTTGTTTGAGCTTGATTCGAAAACACGCTAACAAGAGCTCGTGGTCAGTGCCGCAGTCTGCTCCTGGTCGTGTTTTGATTGATGTTATCGAGCTTTTCCAGCGTCTGTTACAGAGCATATAGTCAATTTGATTTCGGTGTTGTCCATTTGGTGTTGTCCAAGTGTATAATCTTCTTTTCGGTTGTTGGAACCACGTGTTTGTGATAACCATATGGTTGTCTTGACAGAAATCGATCAGTCTCTCTCCTGCTTCGTTGCGTTTACCCAATTCGAATTTTCCAACTATTCCAGGAATTTCTGTTTCGCCAACTTTTGCATTCCAATCACCGATTATCAGGATTGTATCCTTCTTTGATGCATCGTCCAATAGTTGTTGTAACTCCATGTAGAAATCTTCGATGATTGATTCTTCTGCTTCTGTGGTTGGTGCGTAAATTTGTATTATTGTTAAGTTCGTTGGTCTTCCTTGAAGTCGAATAGAAATCATTCTATCATTTTTTGGATTATAACCGATTACCGAATTGATGAGCTTCTTGGTTAAAACCAGGGCTACTCCATTCTTTCTGATGTTTTCACTACCAGAATAGTAAACTTCGTAGTTACCTGATGTAAAGTGACCAGTTCCTGTCCATTTTAGTTCACTTATTCCAAGAATGTCTATTTTGATGCGGTCCATCTCCAGTTTGACTATTTCGAGTTTGCCTTGATTCATACTTCTTACATTCCATGTGCCAATTTTGTGTTTTTAAAAAGCTTTGGTGGTTCCGTTTGTATCTGTATTCCTCAGCGATTGAACTTCCTTGCGGCTTTGATTCAAACGCGTCATTATTTACAGTAGTAATTGTACTTGACCTTAGCTCTTTCCCAGTCATCTGTTCGGTGCCTTTTGACCTGAGGGTCTCATCATCCAGCACCATATCTTGAAACGTCGTTGATTGTCTATTCATTAAATATTCTTGATAAGAGTACTGGAATGGTTTACCATTTCCTTCTCCAGCGCAGTCCGAGTACTTCGTTGCGATCCACTATCGCTGCTGCTCGATAGCTTCTGCGTACGCGCATTAGCCTTAGAGATAGCTCTATGTTTCTCTCCCATACCACGCAGAGGTTGCACGTTCCGACTTCATGAGAAGAGCATCCATATACAAGAATCAAAAATATAGAAAACGCTGTTCAAACAACGACGGCTCTTAAATATCGATGTTGTTGAGTGTCTCCTCTTCATACACACATACTCACATCCGTCCACCTTGCATCCACAATAAATATTTATTTATCACGATAAATTACGATAAAAGGTCTTTGAAACTTCGCTTTGATTTTGATTAAAATTCTTCTTAGCTAAGCCCAAATCGACGACCCTTGCTCGTACATTATGAGTTTCTACACGTTGCAGCAGCTGCACTAAATCTAAAACATTGTTAGGTCAAGAACTTACGTCTTCTACAAATTACAGAAGCTAAACTAAATATCAATGCTATCTCTGGTCAAAAACTTACGTCCTCTACAATTTACAACAATTGTGCTTGTTGGAAGACTTTCTCAAATTCAAAAAGCTTGCGTCCTCTACAAATTACAGCAACTTCTCTTCAAATCAATAATTTTTTTAAAATAAGAATCTCAATAACTTAATCATTTTATTTACTCTTATAAATTTTTTACTTCAACTACTTATCGAAAATTAAAAACATTTTTATTGTATTTAAATTTAATTTCATTCATGTTCGCAAATGAGAGATAGCCAATAATTCACTTTAGCACGTTCCTATAACAGAAGAACGAAAACGGGATATACAGCCCGTTGCATCTTCTATGTAAAGAAGTTCAATCACTTTTGTTCATAGTTCATCTACAAAATCAAGCATAAAGACGATCTTTGTTTCTTAGTCTTAGTCATCGATAGTCGTGGTTGATCATATGTTAATAATAATTTTTTCATGGAACAAACAAGATCCGTGTAATTGTTATCATAAAATTCAATATCGAATTCATTATGCAAACGTTTGTGTAATTTCTCATAGTGTTTTTTAGCATCTTGGTCATATTCCTGAATAAAATGTTTAGCATATTCTAATAGTGAATCACCATCAACAAATGAATATAGTGTGTACAATTGTGGTAATAGATTACGTTCAATCAAAAACCATGTTTGAACATCCTGTTTTGTCCAATCATGAATAGACGACTTTGTAATGGTGACGGATTGAGGTGCTACAGAACACACTATTTCTATTGGTTGTGTTTTAATGATTGGAACATCATAAGGCTGATGTGATGTTGTTGGTTGCATGGTTGAAACATTTTTCGGTACAATCGAATTAATAACATTGCCTTCGTTTGACTGTATATATCCGAGCAGGCGGGAGATGCAATCGTCGAACGATTTTTTACCACTTCTACTAAAGCGCACGTGCAAACCAGTCAATCGAATATCGAGCCATTCATCTGGTTCATACTTATCATCATTTGGATACAGAGCAATTAATGTTTTTTTTCGTTTATCAGCATATGTTGCTTCTTTTCTACAAGAAACACTTTGACAATAATATGGAGAAACAATAACCATTACAAGTGAAGCATATTTTATGGCCACAGCAATTTCTTCCCAACAATCATCTGAACGACAATGTCCATCTTCATCCACCCATAAATCAATTGAATTTGACTTAAGAGCTCGAACAAGATCACGACAAAATATAATGTCTTTATGAGAATAAGATATCATTATATGAGGATGTGCTGTTTTAGACGATACGCCAGTTTGAACAGCATCTTCATCTTTATATAAGTCGAGATTAATCAAAATAGCTTCCGCTGCTTGTTTAATCGATGATAAATGTTGCAATAGACAGGGTTGTATAACAATGTTCTGTTCATTATTATAATGAGAAGCATTTTTGATTATTTCGAGGAATTTCTTATCTGATGCTAGATTTTTTTGAGCTGCTGCTTGATAACTGAAACTACAGAATATATTAAATAAGGCAATACGACTTAAATGTTTTAAATATAAGTCATTAGCCGTTAAATCATTATATTTCTGAAATAGTTCGTTGAAAAATGTTAGCCCGTCTGTAGTTGTATTAATTTTACATGTATTTATAATATATTGCGCAACATTATCATTAACAACTAATCGTGCGAGTGCAACAAGATATTCAGAAATATGTGCCATATAAGTACGCATGTTTGATGAACGTGAAGCAGTATTTACATTTTGTATTAAATAATCAATAACATCATGAAGAACAGTGGTGGATTTTAATTGATCGGGTGTAACAATTAGTGCATACGCCATATAATACACTGCTATTGAAGTTTTGGATAAATTATTCCCGTACAGTTTCCAAAGGTCGTTTAATGTATCGTTCATGTGAACATTTTTTAAGACATTTGAACCTTCTTCATGACGAGCTACATTGTTGATAGTTATTAATATTGATTCGCATAAATCACTGCTTTCTAATTCTTTTCTATTGGTATACGTTGACAACCAAATTTTTAAATGCTGTGGCAACTCGCATTCAATCAGATCCGGCACGAGACTAGTGTCGTCCGATAGACTGGTGAAAAAACCGAGTTCATGTGATAAATCTTCATCCGCATTCAATTTTTTGTCGATAAAGGAAAGAAGTGTTTTTAAAAACGGTTTATATTTCTGTTCGAAACATGACGCATGCAAATTCCATTCTTGAAGACTAAGCAATTCCGAAGCTCGATTACGAAGTCTAATCGATTCTCGGGCCACTAATAGACACTCTTGTATATAGACTTTGTACATATCTGTAGCGAGATTTTGATCGCCTTGCAAATAATTTAAATTCTCTTTTGTACTTAAAATATTCATGGTCAGAGTGTAGTATTCATCTGATTTCGATTTATTACGTTTCATATTATGCGATAAAAAATCCGTTTCACTAAGCTTTGCACGTGTTATTAACCAACAACCTTGTAAAAGAGGAGACGATGACAATGACGATATTGATGATAATCGACTTAATTTAACAAAACATTGTTCGAGTTTATCAAGTATGGATGATGTTTGAAGACCATCTTCGAGAGAGGTTAATTGTGTGTGCAATTTGGAGAGTAGCACATCGAGCCTTTCAATTTCGTTATCATCATCATTCGTTGTCTGTGCGACGACAAGTTCATCGATTATCGATGAAACGCTAGAAAATTCATCGTTATCCTTGGACATCTTGCATTAAATTTCTAACCTATCTGAAATAACAAAATTTTAACTGCGAGAAAGAAAAGCAAAATTCTTTTTTTTTATTCTTATAAAAAGCTACCACGGCACATTTTATTTTTTCATCGTTTTCCTATCGGGAGAAAGGAGTAGAGAGAAGACCCGTATAGTTGTTTGTATACATAGTATGCAGGAGAAATAAGAAAAGAATGAGAGAAACGAAAAAAAAGCCACGATTGTCTCCATGAACGAGCAAGTAACGATCATTTTTTTATTCAGTTCTTTCAATATGCAAAAACAACCCGAATGTGTCCAAGTTGTGCATCGTTTAGCAGTCAAAATTTTTATAGCAAAAAAACTACGAAAGACGATGTACAAACAGCGGGTTATCACAGTTACATTTCTTGAGAAAAATAACTAAGAGTAGTTACTAACGAGGGAACGTCCCCAACTGTTCAATTGCTTTTGGATCGAGTACACCAAAAGGGAGAATAAAATAAAACAAATTTTCTCCATTAAATTCATATTCGAATTTCATCTCTGCCATGACGATTGCAAGCTTTGTTTTACAATGTTTCTAGTCGTTACTTGTAAAAATAATCGACTCGAGCGAATGTGGTATGGCTTGTAGCTTTTCTCGGCGTATGATGTCAACAAAACTGGAAAGAAAAGAGAAAAATGTTAACAGCTATCGGATGTCGTAATTCACGGAATCTTTAACCCTTTGAGGACCGGTGGTCCAAAAATGGACCACCTATTT